GCAGCCCCCCCGTTACCGCTGGCGCTTGCTGGCCAAGATGCCCCTCCAGTCGTCGGCCCAGGAGAGCAGGCGGCGGCGCGGGGCCGGCAGCTCCACGTGCCGGTTGTGGCAGCAGGTGAACAGGATGTGCTCCCAGCTTGGGTTCGGCTCTGCGCCTGGGGAGGACAGGGGCAAAGCTGCAGCCGGCCGGGGGGTTCCTCCCCAGCTACCAGCAGGCAGTGTGAAGGCTTTTCAAACCTCGGATGGTGTCCTTGTCATCAAACAGCAGGTCGCCGGATACGACGGTCTTATCTCGGGTTAGAATGATCCGCTCCACAAACTCGGGTCCCAAATGTTTCTCTACCCACTGATACTGCAGAGGCAAGAAATAAGTAAAAATCCTCCCGTGCTTCCAGTTCACGCATTGCTCGAGTCACATCAGCTCTAGTACAGGAATTTTTTCCCCCGTAAACCTACGTCTGTGTCTGTGAATCCCCTCGGCAGGGCCTGGCTATGGCCCAGCACACTGATTTAACCTGCACTTTAACAGCCTGTGGTCAGCACCACGTTTGCTGTGCCTAGTCACTCCTGAGTCTGTGAGCAGCGCTGGCTGCCTGCCCGCAGCACGTGGGTTGTGTCCATCCCAGTCATTCCACTGATCAAGGTCCCCCACTCCGTTCTCGTGCCAGTGGCAACCAGGGCTAATTTCAACACTACAGCCTCCTCCTAACTCAGCACTGGCCTCTTCCAGGGTAGCTGGGTATCTCAATAGCTGGGCACCTCAGGCTCTGGATTTAGAATAAAGTTTTGTCAGTTGAGGCTTCTCCAGTATGGAATCCCCTGGAAACATCCCACCCCTGCGGGCCATGCTACAAGAGTTCTTTTGCCATCACCTGCTGACACAGCTGAGCCCAGGTGTCATACCCAGCTCCAAGGGCTTAGGTGCCCTGCAATAAGGTTGGCATCACAGGGCACTCTCAGATCCCCTGTCCTGCACTGTGACTCACTGTCCAGGCAGCTGTCCCTCAGACAGGGATTGCAGAGAAGCTTGGCAGCCTGTGCCAGCTCCTGTCTTTGTAAATGAAGGAAAATAAATTCCCTCCCACCTTTTCCACGATGCAGTGCTCGTATTTCCGGAGAGGACTTGTGCAGATGAAGACTTCAGTGCTGAAAAGAAACAGCCTTCGTTAGCAGCCAGGGCAAAGGGCGTAAGATAATGGAGAAGGGCTGCAGAGCATAAAGTGTCCTTACTCCTGCATGCGGATCATCTCCTGCATGGCTTCAAGGGCTCCTGGAATGGGATCCAACCCTAGAAAGAAGCCGGGTGATTCATAGACGCTGGCTACCTTAGCCTGCAAGAGACAGGAGGACCATTAGCAAGGCCCGTGCTTTTACCCGAGCTCTGTGCACAACACTGTCCAGCCACCCCACGTGTAACACCCACCACAGGGCCAGCGCCTTAGGGAGTGGGGTGATGCTGCACACCAAGAGGGGATTATAAAACGTCTCACCTTTTGGGTTCCCGGGCAAGTCCAACTCAGGCACACAAGAAGGAGGAGTTACTCACGGGTGGCTTGTTGGGAGTGAGGAGTCAGAGCTGGTCCTGGCCTGGCCATGTTTCTACAAGCCATGCCATGAGTATCACCACAAACACAGCCCTGATCCACAGCTCGACTTGCTGATGCCTGACAGAGGGAGAGCTCACACCTCGTCCCTCCCCGGCAGGGCTCGCTCCACTAACTCTTCTGCAAACTGAAGGAGGCTTCTGCTCCCCTGTCACGTTTGACTGAAATTTGCTTAAGGCTCAGGAACTTCCAGGGATGAGTGGGCATCCACATGTATTACCTAGTAGCCCTCTTTTCTTTCAGAGCAAACAGAGAGATATGGTGGCCATGCTAATTACCATCCTCAGCACACCCACACGCTTGGGGTTAATCCTTCTAGACCCGAATAACTGACCAGAATGGAAGGAAGAGGATGGGAGCACTAGGGAAGCTAGGTTTCTTTGCTGCTATCATTTTCAATTGCACATTAAAATAGCCATTATTAAAGCAGCAGATCTTGACTTCAGCTCAGGCAGCTGCTCCTCCAGGGTAGCGTGTTGGTGCCAAGTCTACTCAAGAGTGACACAGCAGCAGGAAATTCAGAGGTGGGTCCCCATGCTGCCCCAAGAACTTCTGGCTTCTTGATTTGACCTGTGTACCCTGGTGTGCCCCAGATGGGCTGGGTTTGGTGGGGATATGGGTGGGTCCCACCTACCACTCCCCTCATCTGACACAGAGCACACAACTTTAGTGACAGATGGAACATGCTGATTAAGGAGCCTGCAGCTTTATCATTTTTCCCTCTGCACTGTCTCTCAGTGCTAAACTCACCTTCCATACAAGCAGGTGGGATGCCACAGGAATCAGAGAAATTATTAATGGCTAACAAGTAGTAAAGGAGGTTCTCTCTGAAGTTAGAATAATTTTTAAGTGAGTTTAAGTAAGAAACAGAATTACTAGAGGAGCAATCTTTTCCTAGGCTTAAGCACCCAAAAATTGTGCAAAAATTAAAAGGACTTTAATATGATACAGTCCACTTCCAGAGCTAAGCTTCATTCTCAGACACAGAGGTTAAGGTCCCATCATCTCTTCTGCCCTAAGACACATGAATCTTGCCTTTCCTGGGGTCATACAGTGAACTGGAGAGGTGTCAAAATGGCATTTTTCTGCAGGCATTAAAGTTGTATGTTCCCATGACATGGAAAGAAAATGGAAAACTGAGTTCTCATTAAGTACTCTTCAAAGGCAGGCTGGCAGCTTTTGCTTAGGAATTGCACAAGATTGCTTCATAATCCAGCTGATGGGCTCCTTGCTCTATAGCATCAGTGGAACATCAGCATAAAACCCATTTCAATTAAGCAGCAAGGAAAAGGAGTCAGCATTAAACGAGTCTTCCAGACCACAGTGCTCACTCAGCCATCATGATTTACTAATGCTCATCAATCGACAGCCAGAACTCTGGAAGCACTGCCTGATTCCACACAAAATCACAAGAGGTTAAGGAGTCTAGGTGAAGATGTGGCCATCAGATCTGCACAGACCTCTGTTTCCACGCAAAGCTTCCCTGATCTCTGCAGCAACTCCCTGGAGCACTTCCCAAGGTGATTCAATTACAGAACCAGGGCTTGTGTCTGAAAACTCTTTTATCCTACAGCGAGACACGAGAAACTGGCAAGTTTCCACCAGTCACAAAAAAAGTCTGGCTTTGCTGGAGAAAGAAATTTGATTTGGTGACTCTTAGAACCAAAAAAAGTGCTTCTCCCACCAAAAAAGTGACTAGAAAAAGAAAGTAAAACAATTTTCCTTCCTCATTCTCATGCCATCATTGCTGAATGTTTCCACTTAACTTCCATTAGCAAGGTGACAACTGGGATATAAAACTGGAGGATTTATATCTATCCTTAAGCCTTCCCACATGCAATATGTAAAAAGAATTCCACAAATTTTCCACTGGAGATGTTGAATTTTTTGAAACTTGCGCCAGGTAACGCATCCTAAATTCTTTGGAGATAGATCCCCACCCACAAAAACACTCACACACAGCAGGTCAGATGGGCAAGGGCAGTAAAGAAAGTCTTGAGCAAAATCCTTTGTAAATGAAATGGATTTACTATGTGAAATTAATGATCACCTTACCATGAAAAAAGAAAGAAAAAGCAAAGTAATGATTCAGGTTTCAAGAGGCAGCTGCTGAGCATCACCACTTGGTAAGAAGGCAAGGTGGAAATCACTATCACAGTCCTCCCCACAGCCCCTGTCAGGGCAGTATCTCAGCAGCCCGGCTGTTTGTGGAGGGACCCAGCAGACACCTGCCACAACGAGCTCGATGGTGGGAAGGGACACAGCAGCCCCCTGCCACAAAGAGCTCGATGTCGGGCGGATCCCCCTTTCGGCAGCTGCCAGACTGCAGATTCGGTGTCTCTGCCCGGCCGGGCGGCCCCGCAGGCCCCGGGCACGGCTGGCACGGCACGGGCACGCTGCTCTCGCTGCCTGAGCTGCCAGCTCTTGCCAAAGCTCCTCCTGCAGCTGGGGCCACAGAGAGACCTTCTCCCGGAGGGATCCTCCTGCAGCCCAGACGCCCTGTATGGCCGTGGAAGAACTAACAAGGTCTCTATTTTTAACCAGCTGTGGTATTTACATAAAACCTGTAGGAGCTTTGAGTCTTTAAAACTTTATTGTTCTGCCAAATGTACCTAAACCAGCTCAGAGATCCAGAGGCTACTGATGAGGGAGACAGACACACAATTACAGAAACCTCATTTCCTTAGGAACCCAGGCTACTGACAAAGAGTAAGATAAGAGCTTTCTGCCACTGCTGATCTGTGGGATTCAATCTGGTTATCTGGTTATTTCATTGACACACCTAAGGTCTGGGAAGGAAAAGGAAGAACACAAACCAAATTAGGGAATGGGAATGCCAGAAATAGAATAGAACACAACTTTCAGGACAGATCAGCATGTAGACCTTCCAAATAACAACAAATAAATAGCCATGACCTCTTAAATTGCCTCCAATATTTTTGTCCCAGTATACCTAACTGGGATTCACTTAAAGAATACTCACTTCAGCAATACATCATGTCTGTCTATATAAAATGATAAATAAATCATGCCTACCCCCTATATTTAGAAGTTACTAGTTCCAGAAAGTTTTGAGCATTGATAACCATCAATTAGAGCTGGGTCAGTTTGGAGCCCATGGAAATACTGCCCAGACCCAGCACTCTGGCACACTGATGATGCCTCAGGAACCTGTCCCTCGCTATGGAAGAGGAGGGGAATGAACGAGAATTGTTATTTCTTGGCAGTAAAATACCTCCAGGGTCAGTACAGGATCTTAAAATCAGCAATGAACTTTTCAGGGCAAGTGCAGGGCACCCCCTGGCTCAGCACCCACTGTTTCTTAGTGTCCCAGCTGTCCTGCAGTAACCAGAAGGAAGCGTGAAGTCTGGATTCACAGTATTTTTCATTTTGCCTTGCAAATGTCTGACATTCACTCATTCATCAGCAAACATTAAAACCAGCAACAATTTGCACAGATGTGGGGTGTACTGCCAGGTTTTTACATACTGCTCCAGCTCGCTCACCTACCGCGCTCTGCTCCTCAGAGCATGCGGCGGGAAGGACAGAGATAAGGGGCTTTAGGAGCTGTACAACCCCCCACATAATACTGGTATTTCTTGTCCTGCTGTGGAGCTCCACCAACACCTACAGAGTACTCAGACTGCTTGAAGTAAGTTATTACCACTCCTGTGTAGCAAGAGCAGTTCACAAGCAGGCAATGAACAAGCTGAAGATATTCAGTGAATAGTTTCATCCAGCGATTTTTATGACAGAATCTCTCCTTCCCAATTCCTGCAGACATTCCTCTCTCTGTAAAGGGCTAGCTGGAAGAAGTCACCAATTATTACTATGCAAATTAAGGCTGCTAGCATGAAACAACCCTTTGTAGCACCCTGTTAAAAAAAAAAATACAACCAACAACTCTCCTCACTGCTTTGCATATTGACAGAAGAGGTGATTTCATAGGATCATAGAATGCTTTGAGTTGGAAGGGACCTCAAAAGGTCACCTAGTCCAAGCCACCTGTGGTAAGAAGGGACATCAACTAGAGCAGGTTGCTCAGAGCCCCATCAAACCCGACCTTGAATATCTCCAGTGACAGGGCATCGACCTCCTCTCTGGGCAGCCTGGGCCAGGGTCTCACCACACTCATAGTAAAGAATTTCCTCCTAATGTCTCAATCTACATCTACCCTGCTCGAGTTTGTAATCATTGCCCCTCATCCTGTTGCTACACACCCTTGTAAGCAGTCCCTCCCTAGCTTTCCTGTAGGTCCTTCAGGGACTGGGAGGTCATCCCAAAGCCTCCTCTTCTCCAGGCTGAACCACCCCAACTCTCTCAGCTTGTACTCGCACGAGAGGGGTTCCAGCCCTCTGATCATTTTTGTAGCCTCCTCTGGACCCTTTCTAACAGGTCCTTGTCCCTCCTGTGCTGAGGACTCCGGAGCTGGCCCCAGCGCTGCAAGTGAGGAGCTTCCTCTGCGCCCAGCAGGGGTCGAGGCGAAAGGAAAGAAGAGACGGGGAGAGAAAAGGGGGGAGAGAGGGGAGAGGGAGGGCGAGTGGGGGA